CATTATGTGGCTAGCTGTCCAGGAAAACTGAATGTCCATGCGGTACCAGTTGCCCTGATTGAACAGAGAAAAGGTCAAGCAGAGTAGAGATGGGACGCTCTACTTCCACTAAACTCAAACCTAATTGTCCCTAATGATTCCCATGAGTCATTTGGTGTTGGTCCTGGTACTATCCCTAACAATTTATTATAGCAACAAATCCCTTATGATATATTGGCCTCAAGCCAAGGGAGAGACCCCAATAATGCATACACGGAGTACCACTGTGAGGTGCAAAAGCCATATGCATGGAAAATCCTTGAATGGAATGATACAGTCGACAGCAAAACTTCAACACATATCATAGCTCTATAGTGGATGGTAGTAGTGATTCCAGAAGAGAAAATTACTCAGGAGTATCCTCATGTTGGTGCCAGTATTCTCATTTTTCTGGATAACCAAAAGCCCTTGATTGTTTATGTATTGAACACCAACGGTTCTTTTTATTTGTAGTGTACATACTGTGAAATTTTTGTACAAAATACCAAAATTTGGGCGATTGGTATACTGGAGCTCCCATCTTTATAATATCACCAAACTCATAGCTAAGCTTCCGTTGAAACCAGATGTGGACCACAGAGTAGTGTACAGTACAGTGGGGGCACAGAGCACTGTGTCAGAGGGAGCATACAGCACATTACCTCTGAGGTTCAGGTCATTTGGTGCATCTGCTCCAGAAGTGGTAGTGACTAATAATAACTATGATATGTTGATCAGTGCTGCGTTTATGCAGCGCTTTGAGGCTGTGGTCAATATGGCGGATAAAACCATCAGTATCCTAGGGCAACAGATTCCCATCTAATTTACTTCCAGCGGAATCCCATAAAAGTCCTAATCTGCACAATCAAAATTACCCTCACATATTATGATGGGGTGATTTTTGTACAATATTAGCAGACGAAGAGGATGACTTAAGTGCTCCCTACTCAGATTTATGAGTACAATGGTATTATGCTGCAAGCGGCGAGTGCCCTAAGCATATCTTCTGGGCATCTGGTCATATAGGAATGGAGCTTGAAATAGATATACTAGAAGGCTTATATGGTGAGATTATGGGGCCCTACCAGCAATCATGGCTTGAACCTCATGTGGCTCTTGGGCTCCTGTTACCAGGGCAGGGGGAGGTGAAGGTGTTGATAGTAAGCCTGAAGAAGGTGTTTATAAAGGCTCAACGGCATCAAGTGGTGGCTTATCTGCACCTAATTCCTATTGATGAGGTTCATCAGATGCATGGCTTTGGTTTGTGTGAAGTTCTTGGGCTAACTTTAAGACCTTTTCTGTCATAATGACTGTGGTTCTATGTGAGGCTCTAACTGGCCTGTCAGAGGATCATAAGGACAGGGTGATGGATCTGTTTTAGAAGTACCAAACCATTTTTGCATTTGATGATCACAACGTGGGGTGTGCATGTGGGATCATGCATCAGTTGGATACAGGGGATCACCCTCCTATCTGGTCGTAGCCTATTCATCACTTCAAGGTGGCGGAAGAATTTGTATCCGCTGAGATAAATAAATTGGTTGAATAGGGAATGTTAGAGCCATCAAAGGGTCTCTTGGCGTCCCCAGTGCTTATTGTCAAAAAGAATAGATGCACCAATCAAGTAGTAATTGACTACCAGAAGCTTGTAACCATTAAAAAAGACTTATACCAACTTCCATGAATTGACAATGCTTTAGATTGGCTAGGCGGTGCAAAGTATTTCTCCGCTATGTACTTGATATTGGGGTACTGGCAAATTGAGTTGCCAGCAGCAGAACAAGAGAAGTGCACTATAATCACCTCAAAAGGGCTGTTCCAGCCTATACATATGCCACAGGATTTGTGAAACTCCCTAGCTACGTTCCAGCGGGCTATGGACACTATTTTGGGTGACCTGAAGCTGTATTTCATGTAGTATAACTTGATGATACATTGTGTTCTCATAGACATTCATGGATTATCTTGAACACTTGGAGCAAGTGTTCTGCTGACTCAATGAAGCTAACATCAAAATTAAGCCCCAAAAGTGCCAATTTTAAGGAGCAGCTGGAATACCTTGGGTTTGTGGTAGACTTCAAAGGGCTTAGTCCTCAGGCAGCAAAGGTGGAAGCTATACAAAAGATGACTCAGCCAGATAATAAGCGCGATATTCAGGTGTTTTATGGGGATGGTCAGTTACTACTGGTGGTTAATTTCCAATTTCAGACGTATTGGGGATCCGCTCTTTGAGCTGTTAAAGAAGAATGCCACCTTTGACTGGACAGAACGATGTCAAAACGCTTTCAATGTTCTATGAACCACGTTGACTAGCACACAAGTTTTGCAATACCCTGATTTTTGAGAAGGAATTACTGTACAAACGGATGATTCCCTTTTCGCCATAGGGGCCATGCTATCCAAAAAGGATGATGACGGTGTGGAGCATCCCGTGGCATATTGTAGCTGAAGCTTAATGATTTCTGAACTAAATTGCACCCTGACCAAGTGGGAGTGCTTAGCAGTAATATACGCCTATAGACAGTTCTAGGTATATCTTCACAGGCTGAGAATTAAAGTGGTAGCAGATCGCACATTCTTACGTTGGCTGCAAAATCTCCATGAACCTTAAGGATATTACGTGCAATGGTCCTTAAAGCTCCAAGCATTTAACTTTGAGATTGTACACTGATCAGGGGTGAAACACCAGAACGCGGACTGTATTCCCTAATTACCAATGGTCACCATTACGGCGGATTTGGAAGACATTATGTATGTGAAGATATTTGTGGGAAAATATCTTGAAGAGCCGCCACAGGTGATCAAAGTGCTGGATGGGCTTTGATGGTATATCTTTGTGTGCGATGGAGAACTATATAAGTGGATTGGTGAATTGACACTGAGTTTCCTGAAACCTTCCGCTAGACCTGCAATTATTGTGGATGCTCATAGTCCGGTAGGTCATGGAGGGTTGCAGAAAACAATGGAGTTCTTGAGACCCCATTACTAAAGGGAGAGTATGCACTATGATGTGCTCAAAACGGTTGCTTGTTGTCACCAGTGCCAAGTGGATAAACTATTCCACTGGAAGACCACCTACCAGCATGTAAGACTCATTTTGAATGTCATACTGTTTCTCTGGATGTGGTGGGGCCTCTGCTGATTGATGCACGCTGCTCCAAGTATATAATAGTAGCATTTGACCATTTGACAAGATAAGTGGAAGCAAGGGCGATCAATAATTTAGGGGCTGTCACCACTGCCAATTTCATCCTGTAGTGTGTCATACAGTGACATGGTTTTAAGCAAATTATCCTAATGGACAACAGAACCAATTTCCCGTCACATATCCTGCCCAAGTTGAATGAATTAATGGCAATCTGCGAGTCCTTGACTACACCCTACCACCCTGAATCAAATGGAATGGTAGAATGGGTCAACAGAACCTTAGTTAATATTCTACGCAAGCTTGTAAATGATCAGCCTTTGGAATGGAGTGCCCTTTTACCACCGCTGTCTTTGCATATAATATTAGCTACCACTAAGCAACTGGCAAGAGTCTTTTTCAACTACTTTATGGGTGACATCCAGCATTGCCAGCATTGCTATATTACTGTGTATAGATACCAGCAGTGTTGAGACCCAACGCTATTTGTCTTCCTTAACTGAAATGCTGATTAAACTCCAAAAGAAGCATATTCTACTAGTCTAGCCAGGAAGATTTAGGATCATTCAGCTGACCAATGTAGGCGCAGCAGCCTCCCCCAGTTTAATATGAGAGATCTTTTCCTATTCCACGACTAAAATGGGTCTTTAAGAAGGAACAAGCTTGCCAGCATATGGATTGGACCATTTGAGATATTTGAGAAGATTGGGGTTGACGCCTATACTATTAAGGAACCTGCAGGTGGCTGGATTATCAACTGAGTACATGTGAGGTTCCTTTGGCCATAAAATCAATAGGAGCTTATCATCCAGTCAATGGGGAAATGTCAAGATTCTAATATGACCGGAAAATAAGATATAGTTCCAGCAGATTGTAATTTAGATCTGAAGCAAGCCTCAAGATAGAGCAATATATTATGTTAATGTAAAGTGAATTGATTGAAGCAATTATGGTTTAGAGAATTATGGAAATCCTCCAAATCCTCAATATTTGAATAAAACCCTTAGATTGTAGCAAATAGGGAATTACTAAGTGGAGTGTGTTGAATCTGCTGAGGAATACCGAGGATTAAGAGTTGAACGTGAGAATGTGAAGAAGGAGGTTTTTACAAAGAAAGATAGTAGTAGGAAGAGTAATGGAAGTAGCCATTAAGTTGGTTATTAAATAAATTGTCACCATTGGGGCAATACCTCCTTATTAATTAATTTATCATTATTATTGAGGGCCAGCGATCCTTATATTGCTCATCCATTTCTCATTGGATTTTATCCTGTGCAATCAGTTTGGCATAATTAACCTAATCCGCCAAAATTTAACAATGTGTATATGTTTAGTGCTATTTTGCAAAACTTCTAAAGGTCTCAGATAATGGAGCTTGTTCAACCCTCTCATTGGTCCCTTTGGGAACTGTCCTACTTTGCAGTGCACAGTTTTCTTTGATGCTAGCAGTGTGTGCCCAGGTTGCGTGGTGATGCCTTCCCCACAACTTCTTTTGTATTGTGAACATTATAGACATGCTCTTGACAACTATGGGCTATAGTCTTTTATATAGTGCTGGAGCGTGTGGAGGTTATCTAGGATTTTTATCTTTGGCATTAAAATTTTGTCATTATCTACCAATTAAAATGTTTATTTAACCGAGGCAAGCTGACTAGGGGACAGGCATTACTGAAAGAAAGAAATGACATGAAACCTGAACAGAGTCAACTCTGTTGAAGAAAGATATTCCACCTCTGGATTGGGACTCAAATTTTTCTGGTTATGTCATGGATAAGGTTTTTGTATTATTAGACCTACTAACCGCCAATAGCTTCCTTGGCTGGCACCCCAATCAATGTGAAAAGGGCAGGAATTGAGCCTGCAACCTTCAGGTTAGTAGCCGTATGCCCTTACCAACTCGCCTTCCACCCCCCCAATTAAAAATATTGTAATAGGTATTTTAAGGTCAACCACCTTGAATAACTTTGAAAATCATACAAAAATTATTTGTTGAATTTTATTTGTTATTATACAGTTTATTAATATGTGGTATTAGATTAGATAACCAAAAACCAAACATAGGTGTATATTGGTAGAATTCTTACTATAAGTTCATTATTAGTATTTTACTTGTATATTGCTTTTTTTACAAAAAGTAAAAGAAATAATAAGAAATAAAATTATTAATCATTTAATTTTAAATTAAAATAATTTTATCAATTTTATAAAATTCATAATCAGATAGATAATGGCTTAGTCAACAAGCAAAGTTGAGTACTTCTTTTAGAAAAAAATGGTTACCTCTTGTTTTTACATAATTGAGATATTAGCTTTTCTTTCCTGTAACAATTACATTAGTTATGAAGATTCAATTCAAACAGCAAATTTGATGGTTACAAAGGAGAGATGGGTGAAATCAATAAAACAAATTTAAACTGGGCGAAAGTCATATCAGGAAATGCACAGAACGGTGCTCCAAAGGGAAAGAAATCTCCTGGATGAACCAGGAACCAATTTCACTAAGAAACCACAAACTCAGACAGTGTCTGGGTTTGTGGAATTCACAACTAAACAAAACGCATACTTTAAAATCCAATATTATCAGTCCCTCTCACCAGTAGAGCACAGGCTCTGACTACCTAGGGGTCAATTCTCCAACCTTGTGGGAGAAAGTGGGAGAGTCACAGGCCTCCCTATTCCCCATGAGGTGTATGTTACCACCCATACAACCACTGTGGCTGGATTGACATGGGATTTTAAACTGAAGAAGATGCAGATGCTTCCACAGTAGTCTGCGTCAATATTGCCCTCCCTGAAGCAAACAAATTGTGCACACTGTGCTCACCAGATGGAAAAATTTGAAAACTTTTTCATCACTTTTGACTCGCTCCCAACCAACCTCCACTGCAAGGTAATTGAGGAGGAGCTCTAAGGTCTTTCCAGCTATGAAGAGATTAAACAATTTGAACTGTAGCGGTTTCACCTGATTTCAAATCTGTGCATAGTTAAGGCAATAGCCTGATTAATCCACTCCTCAAGGTGGCTAAGGACCTCACAAAGATCCTGCGACAGCAGTGTTTCACCTCCCAGATGGGGGTGTCTTAAAGGGATTCTGCATCACACTGGAAAGTGCACCGCCAATCTGCAATCACAGCAGCACATTGGGGCATGAGGTGCACGCATGCCTGTGAAGGAGGGCCTAATGGCCCCAGACTTCTGCATTGACACCATGGATGAACACAGTGAGGACTTTGCCAAAATAATTGATATCAACCACGCCTTCCTCTGGGTAGATGATGGGAAGTAATTATTCATAGACCCAGTCTCACCCAAAATGTGCAAAATGGCACAGAAGGCCTGCAAACGGTCCATGGCCAGGTAACATCACTTGCGGCCTCCTCTATCACCCCTTACCATATCCAGAAAGACATGGAGGAAATTCAACAAGCCTACCAATCAGAAAAGAATACCCAAGGTGAAAAATTCTTGATAGTTTGACTGAAACACCACATGACACCAATCAAACAAATTTGTCTGGACAATTAGCTCTACCATTGGTGAATAGGTCGTACACACACCTACAAGCTCAAGCTCTGAAACCCTTAGAGAGCAACCAGAACATTGCATCAGGCCACCATGTGAAATGGTAGAAGAGACCAACTCAAACCCACTCAACGGCAAGACCTGTGCAAAATTGGCAAAGTGTAAGGGATCAAACAACTGCACAGGTGGTACTGGTCCAGTAACCTGGAGCCAATACCAAAAATGGTGTGAAGGGATAGGGCTGGACGGCCATCCCAACCACTCCTGAGGCGCTGTGGGCACCTCAGTGTCCATAGGGATGTTTAACATTATGGGAGCCAGGGCTAAATCATCCCAAAACAAAAAGCTGGACTTCCTGAGGAAACCCCTGTAAATATATTGTCCATTCAAGAAACCCACTATCTACAGAGGGAAGAGGGATCCTGGTCAGCCAGGGTCTCACCGTTCCAATTGGTATGGACGTCCCACTGTGGGGTGGTCATCTGTAACCATAAAAAATTAAAAATATTAACTCAATCTCTTATCTACACAGCTGCATCCTGGTAGCAACAATATCATGCCAGGATACCACAATTTTGATAGCATGCATTTACACACCGTGCACTGCAGCTGAGAGGAAGCAATTTTTTAAGACCATCCCAACACTCACCCTCCCACCAGACACTATTCTACTGGGCGACTTTAACTACTGGGATGACCCCAGCACAGACCAATGGCCTAAACCCAAGGTTAACCCTGGGGCACATTGATTCCATGCAATGAAGGCGTCCCTTGGCTTACACAATACTCTTTCCCCTGGACACCACTCCTCCCCCACATGTCTCTCCCCAATGTACACAAGAGATAGCTCATCTTAATGAGCTACATCAACTTCATTCTCACCACAAAATTACACCGCTCAACCATCTTTAACTTCTCAACTAAAAAGATAAATTTCTCCGACCATCAACTTATTTTTGGTGCAGCTTTTGCCAACCTGTACTCCCGCATAGGTGTCAAACTGGAGGAAGATGCACCTGAAGAACATAAGATTGCCTAAATTATCCAAATGGGTTGAAAACGAGACTGCAAATCCCAAATTTGCAACTCCATTTATATCAGACCCCATTGCAACCTGGTAAAATTTCAAAGTCATATTAATAAATAAAACTCTTTATCTCACCTCACATAAGTATACCTCTGACACAGTCACAAACAAATGCACCTTGGTGGAACTGGACCACCTTGAGCTCGCCACCCTGAAGTCTGGCTACAGCCCCAATTGGGGTGTATAAGGACGAAAATATCCGCCCACTTAAACACCCTCATTTTCAAACGCCAGTGTAGGAATCCAGCTTAGTTACGCTCACTTGGTGCTTTGCCGCTGGATCCCACAAAGAATTTTAATAAAATAAAAATATAGAACTATAAAAATTGGATTTAATATAATATTTAATATGAGTGAGGGGGTAAAACAAGAAGAAATCCTTTTCAATTTCTGACTATTAGTATTTAACTACTTTCAAGGGTAGGAGGGAATTTGGGGATAAGTTTGGAATAGCTTCAAGGCTTCCAATTTACTTAATATGAAGGAACAGCGTACTAAAACTCAGGAACTCACTTCAGGGTAGTGGATCAAAAGACGAGGAATTCTGATTGGCCAAAACTTACCTATGAGGAACTTTTTATGAATTTTGAGCCAATCCCCATCTGAGATGTTTCTTGCAACTTGTGGGACCCCCGCCAAGCCTATAAAATGGGGGTCCCTGTGTAGGTGCGTTGAAGGACTTTGTTGAGGTTGGGGAAGTGCCTTCCAATGATCCCCCTGAAGTCTATCGAGTGGTCATAGCAATCCAAACGTTTGATTTTGTGTTAGGTGCCTGAGGAGGTTTCAAATGGTGTTATCCTGATTAACAGGGCTCCACTGAGAATTGGCTAGGGTCTTTTGGCAAAAATCTTTGATAGCATTGTTATCATAATTGTTAGAATCACTCTAATAATCTTCAGATAATTGCAAATGGGTGACATTTCCCTTTTTGGCTGAAATGGACCTAAAACATTTCTTCTTTTTTCAGCTTTGAGGGCAAATGTCTAACTCCACCCCCTCAAGAATGTTGGGGAGAGTAGGGCCATAGGAAATGGCCATGTACGCGATTAATGGTAATAATGGTAGCTAGCAATTTGATGGAATACTTTTTTCCCCTCTTGTAAGTGATGGCGTAGGGACTCTCCCAAATTTATCCAAGCTTACCGCTTCTGGGAGTGATGCAGTTATGGTAGTACAATACCACATAAGCACTTGGAAAGTAGGTAAGGGTTTGGAGATCATTCGCAGCCTGCCCTTCATTTGTCACTGTTTTTGCTAAATTGGTCATAGCTTCAGATTGGAGTTGAATGATACGTTGAGCCAATCTTCTCATGACCTTTTTGGGTTCCTCAACTCTAGAGGAAAATACATCTTTGACTAAAAGGGCAGGTATGCCTGGTTCCCACCCATACAAGACATGGAATGAAGACATTTTTATAATCTGGTGATAGCTAATCTGGTAAGCCATAAGAGCACTGGGTAGATATTGGTCCCAGTGGAGAGGATCAGAAGATGCCATTTTTTGAAGAATGGAAACCAGGGTTCCATTTGCTCTCTATACAGTCCCATTGGTGGAGGGGTTATATGGAGCCAATAACAGTTGTTGTGCTCCCATATATGTGGCCAGCATTTTGACTACTCTGGAGGTGAAGTTCTTACCATTATCACAGAGTAGTACTTGGGGCAGCCATGACGTGTGAATATGTGTTGGTGTAGAAAGGTGGCAGTGGCCTTGGCCATTTGGTCAGGAAGAGCCATGGCTTCAACCCAATTAGTTTAGGTCAATAGCTACTAGGATAAATCTGTTTCCACTAGTAGACTGAGGAAGGGGACCTACTACATCCAAACTAATGATGTGGAATGGTTGTTTAGGGGTAGTTGGTTGATACTGATATCTAGTCTTGTTACCATATTGCTTCTTGTATGTAAGGCAGGCTTCCAGGACGTCGACAATAGACTCCATTATACCATCCCAATAGAACAGATCTTTAATCCACTCATGGTTTTTTTGCCCTCCATGACCTAGGGTGGAATGAGCTTCTAGGATGGCAGGTACACATTCTGAAGGTCGAAGGTAAGGTAGCCAGTTTTTTTCCCACCTGCTTATACAACTTCCCATTTACAACTTTGGTGTTACAGGAATTTCTGGCTAACATCTTCTGAACAGTCTCATCCTCATCCTCCCATTCATTGGGGGTCATTAAGAGGTCATGTAGCCTCTCCGCCTAACTATTATCCAAGTGAAGGACTGGTAGTCAATTCAACCCATCAACATTCAAGTAATGGGTTCCAGCATGATGTTTGATTTTCATGTCATAAGACTGGA